TACACTTGATTTCTACACATGGAGTCTCGTGGTCTTCTTTCCTAATTATCTAATGGAGAGGTGCTGACAGCGGTTTACAGAGTCAGCATATCGCCCCCACAGTCTGGGTCCTCATTTCACCCACCTCTGAAGGATGGAAGGCTGAGTCAACCTTGAGCCAGTGAGATTAGAACCGCTGAACTGCAGATAACAGTCAGCTGAAGTGGCCTGCAGTACTGCACCTTAATCACTGCGCCACCTCGGCTCATGCAGCCATCAGCACCTCCTTAATTCTGCCCATGAGTTAATACCTGATCTATTAACCTCCCTTCCCTCGTGCAAGATTGAGTCTAACTTTAATGCAATACATAACCATCAAAGACATCACTTGAGTGTTCCAAAAGACCAACACATATTGATACAAGTAAGCCAGATGGCCTCACCTTCTTCTTCGCTGCTCACTACAGTCTTTTGATGACTAGAAAGCTTCTCTGTTGTATTTGCCATGGAGAGAAGAAAGGCGTAGCCCAAAAAAAGTGTTTTGTTCTGGGGCAAAGGACCCCATCGGTGGTCAAGTGCCAAGTGATCGCCTGAGTACTTTCCACTACTTGATGGGTTTGCCATCTCCCTGGCATTTGCAGCTCCTGCAGACAAGAGAGAAGGGTCAGCTTCCCAGAAATAACCAAGAGGGAAAGACGCAAGAGCCGGTGGGGACGGAGGGAAACCAACTGGGACATCCCAGGTTGCCTTTTGAGTGTGGGAGGAAGAAACCGGGAGAGCACAGCCAAATTGGCTCAGGAGAGCAGCCTCTCGAGACTGGAATCACCTGAGCGAGCCTCACCTGCCAGTGCCAGGCGCCGCCCCCGCTTGGCTGGTGACTGTTCCTCTTCTGAGACAGCAGCCAGTTTCCTTTTGCTGGAAAGGGGCTCCGGGCTCTTGCGGACGGGAGTGGTGCTGCCACTGGAAGGGCTGGGGGAAGCAATGCTACGTCTCTTCCGCTTTCCCTCCACCAGGTTATCTGGGTCCACCAGGGAAAGCAGAGTCAGCTTCACCTTTTGTAGGCCACCCGGCACAGGGCAGCCCCAGCCTCCCTGCAGCCCCTCCCCCAGCTGAGCAGCCCACATCTTTCTAGCCCTCCACAAAGGTGGAGCTCGCAGAGGGCCAGGATTTCCTCTGCATTGCGGCCACTCCCACTCTGGCCACCCAGGGGTGAGGAATGTGGTCCCCGGCTGGGGCTCCTGTCTCAGAGTCACACCTAGGCTGATATCGGCTGCCCTGGTCAGAGGAGTGGCTGGCTGGCATGGGCCAAGCCCAAACTGCTCCCGGAGTCTGTTCCCTTGCTCCAAAGATAGGATAACTGCTGTCCGCCGGTACCACTTCTGCTGTCCATCCTTCTCGATGCAGTAGAATAGCTCCCCCGCCTCCTTCCGATGGCCTTTCACCACACCTGCAGCAAAGGTAGAGCTACAGGCTGAGGCCCCAATCCTGCTCCCTCTCCTTGTCCCACCACCCCGAGCGACAGGCATCTTGCAAACCAACAGTTTACCTGCACTGAAGTATTCATCCTCAGAAAGTGCCGTCACCTCCGTTTCCAGAGGGAGGGGGTCGCACAGGAGGACATCTCGGGCCAGAACGTCGCATTCATAGCCATCGTCAAAGAGTAGCCTGTACTTGGCCCCACCCACATCCTGCGTGATGGTCCCAGAGTAGAAGTAGCCATTGGATGACCACTTGGCTACCACCCGGAGGCCCACCAGGCAGCTCCCAGAGGGAGGGAGCCTGGGATCGTCAGAGGCGCCCAGTTGCTCCTGCAGAGGGATTTCAGGGGAGCCACTGCGGCACCGAGGGGGCTCAGCTCGCTCCCGTCTCTCCAGATGTGGACCCAGGCTGGGCTGCCCATCCAAAGAGGCGCCACCGGAAAGTTCTGCCTCAACCTGCATGGAGCCCCTGCAGAAACAGCGAGAGGGGTTACAGGATGCCCAAAGCGCTGCCGAGAAAGCTTTGCTTCCATCGCCACTGCTCTACCTCACTCCAGTGGATCGGGAAGTGGGGCGGCCCCTTCGCCCTCGCCCACGGGGGGTGAGAGGCGTGCCTCTACACTGCTGGTTGCTGGGGCCTGGGTCTTCTGTCTCGTCCCCCGCTGCAGCCTTGCCATGGTCACGATGGGCTGGGCAGAAACCGGTCCCCTTCTTTGGGCTGGGGAGATAAGAGGCAGCTTAGCTCCTGCCGGCAGCCGCTACTTCCCTATCGGAAGCCTCCCAGGTTCATGACACTTGGATCATGGACGTAACAGCTCCTTTTCCCTTTGGAAAACCCCGCCCTGGCTAAAAATAAAAGATGTGTATTGCAAAACAAGGTGGTAAAATGTAGTAGTCCAAAGTCAATGGTTGAGATGGGTGGCTAAATTGAATAAATAAAGTACCATTTCATATTCTTTTTCATTACTGAGTTTGGAAGGAACTTTCTATAAAATATTGACTTTCACAATATTTTGCCAAACATTTGGACTCTTCATATCTGTTTATCTACATCTGTCCTGAATAAGTTAAACTACACTTGAGGGTTTAGAGCTCAGTTTTCTGAACTGACATTAACTTCTCTTTGAAGACATCAACTGACTTTTGCAGGACCAAGAATGGCACAACCGGCTTCTGTGCAAACTGGCAGGTAATCTCTTAAGGCCCCCACTCACCTTGGCTTCCGGGCTGCGGGCAAGGCCAAGTCTTCAGAGCCCCTCCTTGGGCCCACAGAGTTTACACGGCTGCGAGTGGCAGACAGAGCGCTGCTTCCTCCACTGGAAGTGTGCTGAGGTCCCGACGCCTTGGAGGAAAAGGAGCTGAGGTCCCCAAGGTCTCCGGAGGTCAGAGAAAAGGCCCCAGTGCGGGAAGGAGAGACATCCACCTCACACTCATAGCAATCCACATGGGGTTCCTCTCGCTCCTGAAAAAGATCAGGTTCCAAATGGGAAGGGGGCACTGCAATCCTCCTCATGGCCCCTTCCACTCAGGCACCCAGCCATTCATCCACCTTTATCAGAACTCCTGCACTCAAGAAGAGTATTTTAATGGCATTTTGAAGGTACAAACTGCTCACGTTCTTACTGTCATTCCATTTCTGACATAACAGAATTTAACACAGTTGGAAGCAACCTTGGAGGTCTTCTAGTCCAACTCCCTGCTCAAGCAGGACACCCTGTACCATTCCAGACAAATGGCCATCCAATCTCTTCTTAAATAATAGATACTACCATAATCCAGCAAAAGCAGCCTCGAGTTCCATTTTCATCCCATGGATAAAAAGAAAAGCGTGCAAAACAGATTTTACCTCCTGGAGAAAGAAGACATTTTGCATCCATTCCTATCTTAAATTGTAGATCTGAGCTGGGGTTTCCTCTTAGGTTCCTTTCTTCCCTCAGCCTCCCCCCCCCTTCTTCTGAGTCTGAATGTCGCTCCCTTTGATGGACGAGGCCCTCAGGTCACGCAGCCTCAGCCTTCCCACCTGACGGGCTCAGGACCTTCAGTAGGCTCAGGAAGCCTACAGGTCTGGCTTATCATTGTGTCCTGGATCTGGGGTGCCCCCTTTAAGACACAGGATTGGCTGGGAGGACCCTAATATACCAGAGAATATTGTTGCTAAACATTTTTATGAGCTCTGGAGGACTGAAATATCCTTAGCCTGCCAAGAGATTAATCAGGCCAGGCAACTGACTCCACCAATAAAGGGTTCCACCACAAAACCACGCTCGACTAAACCGCGCCCGACTAAACCGCGTCGCTGACGTCATCAACAGGGCGACAACAGCCAGC